TATGCCATTTTAAATATTTATATTGTTTATGTGTATGGATATTTACATGTTTTATGTAGTGGCTAGGTACATTTTTTTAACTTTTATTAAATGCTTTTATTTAATAGTTTATTTAATATCACTCGCTCGAATATTTTCAAGAAATGTATTTGTAGAACGGGCGTGGAAAGTATCACTTGATCGAAGTATTGCAATCCGATACGATGTTCGAACAAAATGTGAACTTGAAATAAATCGATTTTATTTTGCTAATTAATATATTTTTATTTTAAGTCGAACAATGCAATGCATGTTTCTAAATAGTAATTTATTTTATTTTATGAAAATTGTCGATATTCAATTTATATTTGATTTGTGTTTTTCGAGGAGGAAATATCCTTTTTAGTCAAGAAATAGGAGTAATAGTCTTCCCGTTAGAGGATGAGCAAATCTCAATATTTCTTTTCGAATTAAAGGATTTTCCCTAATAAATAATTCAAAACAAATTAATCAATATTCAATAAATGGATCATATTTTAACTTTATGTTCGATTTATGATTTCCACCATTACGACAACGTGTAAGCGATTAAGTACCAAATTTTGGGCGTTGTGGGGGTGCTTATCATTCCCTACGTGCAACCGACTCCTGAACCCATTAAATCAGATTTTTGGAAAACGAGAACCATTTTTGTCTTAAAAATGATTTTTCTTAAAATTGTTTTAAAAGACACTTTTAGATATTCGACCTACCTAGCTCAAAAGTCGATGTCGACTCCCTTTTAATCTCATCCAAATTAATTCAAAATCGTTCATTTTTCAAATAAAAGTTATAATTGTTTTTTAAAACTTAATTGTTTTTTTTTCTAAAAAAATGGTTATGACACAAGCTATAGAGATCAAGAGAAAAACTCTTTCACTCTTTTATTCCATTTTTCTCTTGTACATAAGTATTTGAGCTCATTGCAAATCTTTATTGTGAGTTTAATTATTGTAAACACCTACCTTTGTAAGGTTTTATTGTTAAAATTTTTCAACCTTTGTAAAAGGGGAGTGGTTATATTTTAGCCATTGAAAAACTAGAAAGTTTGTAAATGTTACTCTTGATTCTAAAAAAAGAATAAATTAGTGAATTTGTTGGAAAATCCTTAGTGTGAAGCTAATGTAGTTAATGTAGGCTTAGTTGAGATGTCGAACCACTATAAATCATTGTGCAAATTTTCTTATATTTTCTATACTTCATTCCCTAAATTTTTAAAAGGTCAATTCATTCCTTCTTGACAATTTTTTCGGTTGATCTTTGAGCTTTAAATTTCCTAACACCGATGAATTGACAAAAAGAGTTGAGAACATCTACTTTAACGTGGTGTGAGATGTTGATACATTCCCCTGGATCTGGAAGCCTCCGTCACCTCTTCGCAACGTCTATATATTGATACATTCCCCTTAATATGGAAGTCTTCACTACCTTTTTACAGTGTCTTGATGTTGATAGGTTCCCCTGGATCTTTTGTAGGAAACGTCACCTCCCGTGAGAGATATCATGCGGAGTATTGAAAAATGACATTTAAAAGATTCTGCCTTCTCCCATTACATAATTAGTACCCCCTGCATTTAGCGTTGAGAAACTTTGCATGAAAAAGCCTTCGGACACACCAATGATGCCTCTGTTCAATCATGATGTCGAGGTCCTCCTTTAAATGACACAATGTAGAAAGATCTCCATTTACATCAAAATACTCCCGATAACATCTCCACCTTGAAAGCATCAAGATTCTTTACCTTAAAACCCCAATGATAAAATCACTTTCTTGAACATGATTAAAGTATGCTATCAATATGAAAAAAACTAATCGACAGTGACGGACAACGATTGATCGACAGTGATAACGAATGACGGGAAACGATTGATCGACAATGACAACCGAAAAGTTTAGTGCCTAAAATAAAACCGCTTTAAAGTTTAGCGACAAAATCAACACACCCTCAAAGTTCAATGATTAAAATTTTATCATTTTATACAGGCATTAATAGCCACACCAAAACGATATTGTTTTGTCTATTTTATCACATTATTTGGATTTCAAAGACCCAATGCTCACATTATAACAAAATGAAAGTTCAATGTTATAATTGAATCATAAAAAGCTCAATGATAAAACCAATATTAACCTTAAAGTTTAGTAGTATATGCTGTAATATATCCTTACAAATTTATAATCTTGGGACTAGAAAAACCCTTTTCAAAATTAAGGAGGGCAAAGAGGAATTTTACCTTTTTAATTAATAAACCTTTATATTGGGGACTAAAAGTCTAAACGAGCTGCTTTACTTTTACCAAAGCAAGGGGAAGTTGTCCTGCTATATTTTACTGCATATTGCAAATGAAGCGCGAAAATGGAGATTGGTAGCAAACACAAGGAAGCATCTCTGTAGGATCTCAGCTCTTTTATTAGAATTTTCGCATTTCTTCTTCTTCTCCTCCTCCTCCTCCACGATCTCCGGTAACCCAAATGCTCCCTTCAAATATCGTAGCCAAGCAGATAACAGGATTTGGACGACTGCCGGATTCTTCACCCGGCGGCGTTGAGGATAACAATCCTTTGTTGCAGCCTCTTAGACCAAACTATCCGAACCGGCCAACCCCAACTTCTTACTTCGTTAAAAGATCCCAATCTGATGATTGAACCAGCACCGTGGAAACATGCGGATGGAACAGACCAAACGTATCCATATATGTTCTCAGAAGATCGAGCAGCTGAGACTGAAGCATATGTGTCCCTATGTGGAGAAATAAATCACCGACGCCTTCAGGGAATACTCGTAGGAAGATCCTACCAACATGAGGTTCAACCACATTCCTGCTATTCATCTGAGATTCAATCGAGTTCCACCAATTCATCTCGGATTCAACAGAATTCCAGCAATTCATCTGAGATTCAACCCAACTCAACCGAATTCAACCAGGAACTTACAAGACTGAACTCCACTTCTGATGAAACCAGTACAGATTACATTGCACCCCTTTGAAAGAATACGAATCTGGATCACAGATACATTTCTGAGATATTACTAGCCTCTGGCCATCCGATCAACCCGGAGCCATTCCAGCAGTTTGAAGCCAAGAAATCAAACAGAAACTAGGTGGAAGAGGAGTATGGTCTGGGAAACATATTGTGGGAAGATGTAATGTGTCAATCCAAGAGATGGACCGATTTCAACAGTGAGATTTCCACGGCGGTTCTCGATGTTGAACGTATGGTCTTTAAGGATTTAGTCGACGAGATTTTGATCCACCAAGGGGGTTGTTTTACGATCCAATCAACAATGTAGGATACCTCATATATATATATAAAGCAAAGAGTTAATTGAATCATATGTCCTCAAAGTATGATCCCTATTTTAAATTAAATCCTACACTTTTAAATATTCTAATTTTATCCCTAAACTATGACTATCATTCTAAAATAATCCTCAAACTTTTGAATATTTTAATTTCATCCCCATACTATGACCTTTATTCTAAATTAGTCCCCAAACATTTTGAACATTCTAATTTCATCCCAAACTATATGCATATACTAACCACATTCCTTGTGAATTTGAGGATGATATTTGAATATTCAAAATTTTGGGCATTAATTTAGAAAGATAGCCATAGTTTAAGGATGGAATTAGAATGTTCAAAAGTTTAAGGATTATTTTAGAATGAGAATCATAGTTTGAGGATGAAATTAAAATATTTAAAAGTTTAAGGATTAATTTAAAATAAGATTATAGTATGGGGACATATGATGTAATTAACTCTAAAGTAAATAATAAATCAAACTTGTAACAAGAAGGTGGACAAAATTCAAGTTAACTTTTAAAAAAAACTATTTTTTAAAAAATTCAAGTTAATTGAATTGAATTATTTAGTTTTTTTAATAAAATTAGATAAATAATTTAATCTTTCAAATTGAATTTTTAAAAATTGAATATATGAAAAATCGAATAACAAATTGGTATAAATATCCTTTTAAGTCCATGACAATTTCAAAAATATGCAAAGTGATAACTCTAACAAAAAAATAAAAATATTATTTGGTTCAATTTTGAATGGATTCAATGAAAAATCAATCCAATAAGAAATTTGATAGAATGAGAATATTTTGATACTAATATTACTGAAAATGACGATAAATGAAGAACGATGATTAATAATAACGACTGAAAAATTTAGTGCCTAAAATAGATCAAGTTGAACGTTAAAATTCAATGACATGCAGTGCAATTTATCCTAAGAGATTTATAGCTTTTGGGACCACATTGAGGAGAGCAAAGAGGAATGTTATTTACGGAACTTTTAATATATATATATATATATATATATTATTATTACAAAATGCATACAGAGCGGGAAAAAAGAGAAATTCGTGGCAAAGAGAAGGAAGCATCTCCGTAGGATCTCAGCACTCTGAGTAGAATTTAGGAAACCGATGCTGATGGGTTCTTAAAGCAGCCAAGCCAAGGAAAAATTTCACATAGGCCTCCAGAAAATGATGATACGAATATCGGACCAATGTGGGGTTCAATGCGATTCCGACAATGAATCCGACATTCAGGCGTTTTCTCGAAACCAATCTCTGTTGCAAAGACATTCTCGGTGTAACTCTGATCTTCAACCTCACCCTCGATCAACCAGTTTCTGTCTTTCAACCTGTCTGGTCTCCACAGAAGACTCTACATGGTCGCAATGCGTTGATGCACACGGCTTGTGGAATTCAATGTCTAGGGGAACTAATCCGCGCCCTTTAAATGCAAGAGCCAAGCTGATGGGCTTGGAATCGATGCCGTCTTCTTCCTCGGCTGCGGTGAAAACCGGCGGTGTTGCGGATATCAATCGTTTCTTAAGCATGTCTACCAGTGCGAGGAACTCGTTAAAAGATCCTAATTCACCGCGGTGGAAAAATACCAATATGATAATGAATCCTACTTCCAGTTCAAGGATCCTTATTGAGCCAGCACCATGGAGACATAAGGATGGCACTCGAGATGCTCAGAAGCAACCTCTTAAGCATGTAAAAGTTCCGCCCAAGATTCTGAGTTCTTCCACTTCGATTTATAGTGAGATCGATAAAAGATTGAAAGACCTGGAGTTCAAACAATCAGGTAAGGATCTCAGAACTCTTAAACAGATGCTTGAAGCAACGCAAGCAAAGAGATCCCTGAAGACCCATAAAGAAGAACAAACAGCAAACTTGGGTTCTCAGAAGCAACCTCTTAAGCATGTAAAAGTTCCATCCAAGATTCCGAGTCCTTCCACTTCGATTTACAGTGAGATCGATAGAAGATCGAAAGATCGAGGGTTCAAACAACCTGGAGAGGATCTCAGACTACTTCAACAGATACTTGAAGCAACGCAAGCAAAGAGACCCCTGAAGACCCATAAAGAAGAACAAACTGCAAACTTGGGTTCTCAGAAACAACCTCTTAAGCATGTAAAAGTTCCATCCAAGATTCCGAGTCCTTCCACTTCGATTTACAGTGAGATCGATAGAAGATCGAAAGATCGAGGGTTCAAACAACCTGGAGAGGATCTCAGACTACTTCAACAGATACTTGAAGCAACGCAAGCAAAGAGACCCCTGAAGACCCATAAAGAAGAACAAACTGCAAACTTGGGTTCTCAGAAACAACCTCTTAAGCTTGTAAAAGTTCCGTCCAAGATTTCGAGTCCTTCCACTTCGATTTACAGTGAGATCGATAGAAGATCGAAAGATCGAGGGCTCAAACAATCTGGAGAGGATCTCAGACTACTTCAACAGATAGTTGAACCACTGCAAACAAAGGGACTATTGAAGACCGACAAGTTGGTCCAAGAACTAATAAGACTGAGCTCAACTCATGATGAAGCCAGTACAGATTACATTACTTCCCTTCGTGAGAATACGAATCCAGATCACAGATACATTTCTGAGATATTATTAGCCTCTGGCCTTCTACTGAGAGACCTAGGTTCTGGCACGAAAACGTTGTTTCAGCTCCATCCATCAGGCCATCCGATCAACCCGGAGCTATTATTTGTTTTGGAGCAAACCAGAGCAAGGTTTTTTCTATCAGAAGAAGTTCGTAACTATAGAAACGTTTCGCTTTTAAAGCTGGACCGCGTCCGTCGGAAGCTTGTATTTGATTCGGTAAATGAGATTCTTGTTGGAAAGTTGGCTCTATTGGGAGCCTCTGCAGAGCCTTGGATTAACTCCGGAAAGCTGGCAACGAAGACCCTCAATGCACAAAAGCTTCTAAAGGAACTCTGTACGGATATAGAGCAGTTTCAAGCCAAGAAATCAAACAGCAACACGGAGGATGGTCTGAAAAACATATTGTGGGAAGATTTTACGTGTCAATTCAAGAGCTGGACGGATTTCAACGGCGAGATTTACGGGATGATTCTCAATGTTGAACAGATGGTCTTTAAGGATTTAGTCAACGAGATCGTGATCGAGGAAGGGGGTATTTTACTATCCAATCAACAACGCAGACGACGTTTGCAAAAAAACAGTCCTGTTACTTCTTCCACTGTTCTGATTTAATTCTTTTTTTTTTCTTTGCATGAAAGCTTAATATAATTCATGGATAACATTCAGAACTGCAGTCCCTTGTACATGAGATCTTTTATATAAGTTCATGTTTTAAGCAAGTTTTATTCGGTTTATTATCTGAACTCATTGAGCTTCATTGGATCATCCAACCACATAACCACCTTTCAGAGGAGATATCCACAACAAATGAAACCAGAATGATAATCAAATTGATTAGATTTCAAATTCTGATTTGAATATGGAAATATGACCAGAAATATCCACCGAATTGATGAAAAACTAAAAGCCAAATGAATATATGCTCATTTTAAACATGTATCCGTATCCAATACTCGGATACACGTACTGAGTCGAAGTAAAATGAAGATGGAAGCATGGAACAATGGAACTAGAAACAAGAGAGCTAGCTCCATATTCTTCTTTTCTTATTGCAGAATAGCTAATAGAAACCAGATGCTTATCTTGATCTAGTCAATCACATTATCCATCATCCAATTGCAGTTGCATCTGGATTTATACATTCATGCAAATATGCTGAACAATGGAATAAAAAAATCCAGGCAAATAACCTTATTAATGTAGGACACTGCATCCTCTTCAATTTCAAGAGTCTCAAGACACTGCTATGTTAAGATGACCAGCATTTGTTCCACGACAGCTCAGCAGGAGAATGAAACCTGAGAAAACTGGTGCACATTAAAAATTTCCACAGAAACACATGCTAGAAACATTTTTAAAAGTCGGTAATATTAGTTAGGTAAAGCAAGGAACATAAGACACAATCAAAATGAGATTACAAAATATCGATTAACAATTCTATGTTGCTCCAACACTTCATTTTTCTTGAAGTATCCAAGCGGACCATGCCCACCGGATCATATAGCATCACTCTGCTCTATCTATCCTTATCCCCGGTAAGCATAGAAAAAGTGAGGTCCTTTATTTGATAGGTTCAAATATGTATATAAGTTGATAGCGGAAACAAGTTAAGAAACTAGGCTATAAAATCCAGCACACTTAAATATCTTGAATGACCCCATTTTCTAATTAACCAGTGAGTGAAGAAAAAAAACAATTTCTAGAAATTGGGAAGTCATAAAACCACTAGATTTGTATAATAGGTTGGTATACAATTCAAAATTATACATAGGCGTCTTCCAGTAAAGATGACAGAAGCTGTTGAGTGCATGATTTTGCTTTGCAGTCAAGAGAGAGAGAGAGAGTGAGAAGGAGAGCAACTTTACTTTTTAGATCTGAACTTACAGAAAGTAAACGATAAGAAACTAAATTAGCCTAGAAAGAAATGCATCTTATTTCCATCTCTCACCGGCTTTTCAATCCTCAGTTTCAATGGAATATGGTAAGGTCACAAACTGCACTCTACAATTGCAAAGGTGAAGCAGTGCCAAAGCAGTACCACTGAATATGTAAAAGGATTGCCCAATCGAGACTTGAATCACCCTGGAGTGAGTCAAGCAACTTAACGTCTCTGTTCAAATCGTGGAATTCTTAAACTGACCCCCAAGATCAATGACTAACACCTAACCAGCTTTGACACTAAAAATAGCATGGTGAATCAAGTTTAAAGTTTAGGGTTTTTTAAGGAATCCTATGCGAATTTAAAGTTTGCTTGACTTGATACACAATTCAATCTGAATTTGAAGCAAAAGATAAAGCCTTGCCTAAAACACAACATGCATGTAAAAATAGGATAACTGTTTCTATTTTCACTTGACATCGAACAATGCCAAGGTTTAGCACGCTAAAAGTAACATATAGTGCTCAATGAGTTGAAAAATTCTTTTCCCAAAGATATTAAAGTGAACATTTTGTTACACATGACCACATTATTTCCTAGATTCTGTCCACTTAATCCCACATGAACCACTTGATGTTACCAAGTCATAATCACAATTTGCCAATAAATTGGGATAGGGAAAAAAACTACCAGGAAGAACCTATGCTAAGAATGAACAAATGCACCATCAACAACCTCTAGTGCATCAAAGCAACATACAAGATCTAATAATACCTTCAAACTTTGACATCCATATACCAATATGTAAAACCTCATGATGACCCAAATTTCATCCAAAACAAAATGTTCTTGAACCTAATAAATTCGGAAAACCACATTCATCCACAATCCTATAAGTCATCTAGTTCCAATACCTTCTCTTCTACACAACATATAGCAACTCATAATCGATGAACAACATATATATAATAACTCATAATCAAGCTACACTACAATTCAACACAAAGTCCTAGTTGCTTAAAACCCCAAACCACATCAATAGTGAGAAACTAATCACCATATCTCAAAACAGAAAATTAACCAGCACACAAATCTTTAAAGATCAAAATTCATTAAAAAAAACAAATACCCACATCTTAAAACATAACAAGTAGCTAAATTAAGCCTCAAATTTAAATGATAATAGCAATAATTTTCAGGATTCTTATAATCTGACCTATTTCTGGTAGCTTCCACACATACCAATAATGAGAAACCAATCACCTCGTCTCAAAACAGAAATTAACCACTACCAAATCTTTAAAAAAATCAAAATTCATTGGAAAAACAAATACCCACATCTTAAAACATCACGACTAGCTAAATAAAGCCTCAAATTTTAAGAATTTCGATAATCTAACCCATTTATGGTAGCCTTCACACATACTGATAGTGATAAACCAACCATCGCAACTCAAATCAGAAAATTAACCAATGCCTAAATCTTTAAAAGATACAAATTTCATTAAAAACAATACCCACAAACTAAAACATTAAAATCAGAAAAATAAACCCTCAAACTTTAAAAATTTCCATAATCTGACTGACCTATTTCTGGTAGCCTCCACCAATGGCATTCTCATCTTCTTCAACTTTGGCAGTCAAATAAACCTTAGGGAAATCGTTGACATCAAAGGTCTTCTCTTTCATCATTTTCTCCACATCGGCTTTCTTCAAGATGGTGCGAGGGATCGGGGGGCGGTCGCGGCGTTGGTCGCGGGTGTAATATTTGATATCAAAGACGGTTTCGGGGTCAGATGTGGGGACGATGGGCTTCTGTAAAGTGGTGGCCGGGCAGCGAACACGGTACTCCGTGGCTTTGGGCAAAGCGCTCTTGTACTCTGGGTCGGCGCAAGGTCCGGTTATCTCCCATGGCTTCTTGATGTATCGTTTCAGGCTTTGGAAGATGGAGGAGCTGCTTGCTTTGGATGCCATTGATAGACGGTGAATTTTGGAGAAGATGATTCAAATTGGGGATCCAAATTAACTTCTGAAATAAAAAATAAATAAACTGAAAATGATGGTCACCTACTTGGTTAATTTGGTGGGATAAAGCAAATTTTAGTCCTTCAGTTTGACCAATTTTCCAACCTAGTACTTAACATTTGTTTGGTCTATATTCGTCCTTGAACTTAGTAACTTTTCCCTTTTTAATCCTTTTGATTACATGACAATTTGAGGTTGTTTCACATCATCAAATAGATTAAAATGGGCTAAAAGTCCAAGTTCAGGGACTAATCTGAACCAAAACAAAGGACGGAGACCAAGTTGGAAAAAGTTGCTAAGTTTAGGACTAAAAATTACTATATCATCTGGTTAACTAAAGAGGGTAAATTTTACTAGATGTCACTGACTTGAATTATTTAATAAAGATAAAATTTGAGAAATAAAAGGATCATGAAATAAAAAACATTGGGAAAACTATACGTTTAGTATCTAAATTATTACTTTTATTTCATTTTAATACAAACTTTATTTTTCTTAAAAATAATACCTAACATTTAGCTTATATTTTAATTTGGTATCCGCTGTTAAAAAAATATCAGAACTGTTGACGTGATATTTTTTTATTTTTTTAATATTGACGTGATATTATTTTATGATGACACGTCAATCTCACCGTTAAGTTTTTAACAACAGTGTACCAAAATAAAACTTAAACTAAACATTAGGCATGATTTTAAAAATAAATAAAGTTTAGATACAAAAATGAAATAAAAATAATAGTTTATATATTAAATGTGTAGTATACCCTAAAATATAAGAGCTGAATTTATATTTTATGTGTAAGACAAGTTCTAATGATAACATTTGACCAAAAGATGAGTCTCAACAATAAACACCCTAATCCCTAACCCATTCCAAAGGCAACTAAAGCATTAATTTTCAGCGAAGCAATGGCAGACACTATGATCTCTCTCGATAAGGTGAAAGGCTTCTTGTACTCTCAAATTCACGATGAAGAAAATTGGGCACAAAACATGGTATCTCGTTTTCCTTTATTTTTCTTCTTTCTTCTTCGTTGCCTTTTTTATTTAGTTGCGTTTTTAATGTGAATTTGCTAATGGTTTTGTTTTTCTGACATTGGGTCTCTGGGAATTCGTTTAGAGAATTTGATTGTTTAGCGTTATATGAGTAACATCAATTAGAATAGATCCATGCAGATTCACAATGTGCATTTTAACCTATGTTGCCTCTTGTAATGTCCTTCCACTATAGCCATCCTTGGAAATTTTGAATCATCCTATAGTTTAGGTATTTTCTATTGATGATCTAATTTTGTATTCCTGAAATTTTGAAATTTCGTATCTATAGTTTAGGAATTTTCTATTGATGATATAATTTCGTATTCCCGACTTAAAATCTTGTGTCCGGTGCTGACTTTAACCTTCTGTTCATAATACTATTTAGAGAGAAAACAGTGCTCTTTCTGCGGTTGTAAGATTCGAACTTGGTTTAAAAGTTTCCCGTTTTACTGTATTAATTTCTTTTACTTGAAATGGAAGTTTGCTTCTCAGTGTGATCCTGAAGCGGTCTTCTTGTTTCGTGAATGTGCTAGTTAATGAATTTTATTTGCATCCTGAGAAATGGAAGTGTGTTTGTTTCACCCTCCCCCCCACTTTTATTTTGCAGAAACTGCTGCGAGCTGCTGGTTTATTTGCCGAATCGATTCTTCTAATGCGCAGTTACAGTGATCTTATGGCTGTCTAAGGAATGAAGGGTGGATTAAGAGCTTCGGAGTAATCTTGTATTCGGTTACCTTGTTGGCATGGTGTAGTTTTCTCCGCCACGCCAGTTTCAAAATGCATATCCATTTATTTTAGTTTTGAGGATGAAAATTGGTAAGGTGACAATCGCCTCTCTGATATACTCGATGATTTCAAACAATTTAATATGCAAATGTTTGCAATTGAATGAAATGCACACATCCAGATGATTGCTGGAATTGTTTTGGGTTGCTTATTTTAGATATCTAATGCATGCATGCCTTTAAATTTGTAATGGAAAGTAGGACAAAAATGGAGTTCTTTATCGGGGTCAAGACCGTTCTCCTTCGTCATTTCTTGTTGTTATATTCAATCTGAGTAACACTGACCCGGAAAAGGTAAGGAACCCCAGGTAGCTTACTGCAACTTTTGTGATATGCATTAGTTTCTCATCCTGAAAATGGCAATTCAATGAGATCAGATGAGAAAATATTCTCCAGCTTATATAATCTGCATGCGCGTATCTATGTTGCTCGATTATTTTCTTATATAATCAGCTTATAATGCCTGAACTTAAAGCAGATGACATGTTTGATGAGAAGATCACTCACCTTCATCGTTCCATCCATAAAACCTTCAAATTCAACCGAAGTTTTAACCGAAACCCATAATATTTTTTGCTATTGATTAGTAAGAAAATTGGAAACTTGAAAGTAGATAAAAATGAAGAAAATTACGAGTATAAAGTGACATATATGTGTAACGATTGCCGATGAGCCTGAGGTCCATAACCTGGACGATGGTCTCGGATGAAGAAACCGGAGATGGGTTCTCCAGTATGATCGATAACGCATCGTGGGTCACTATTCTTTTTATTTTTCTCTCTTTTGTGTGTGTTTTGGTCACTATTAATTCTTGTATTATATGTAAGTTTTAAATTTAGTTATTGTCATTAATTTGATCACTTTTAGTCCCTATAATTTAATCACATTATTCATGTACTATTTGAATCAGAAATAAAAAATAAAATAACTAAAATTGATCAAATTAGAATATAAAATGTAAATTCGTAACTTACATAGCTTTGTGTGGAAAGATGACGGGGGCCAATTTCTAGTTAAAAGTGTATAGAGAGTTTATTTACGTATTAACAACTTTGGAATGCAGAAGCCACTTGCTTGACTCTAATGCAAATTTAAGTGTTTTATACAAGTTTGCCTGCATCAAGGAAATCGCGAGACAGTTCGGTTGATAACCGGTGCACCGGTGAAGCCATTAGAGCATTAAGAGGACGTTTCCTTAATATGACAGGACCCTGAAGGATGCACCTCTGGTGTGCCATTAGTCATCTGTGGAGCAAATAATTGCCGAAAGCATCTAAGTAGCAAGTCAACTCCGAGATGAGTGCTCTAATATTTACAAAATATGAACAAGTTTGGACAAAATTTATGATCTGTATTTCGGGTCAAGCCGATATTTAAATTATTGGGTGTACCTAACTGCCAATAGCTTGCATTGTGCACATGCACATTAACACCTTCAATTGTGAAGGTCCTTTTCTCGTTGATGAAAACTACATATATCCATAATCATGTTTTAATATAAGATCAAATGCCTCATCAGCATCATATGGTGCTTTTACTCTTTCATTAAACCTGGAGCAGATAAGTGGGGCATCAATGGAGTCCCACTCAATATTAAAAGCGATTGTGAAAGGTAAAGAAAACTTCAGAATTCGAAGCTTATTCCTCGTACGAATTACCATTATCAGCACACATGTATATACTCTTCGTTTTTCTTTAAACTCTCGTGTCCAATGTGTGTTTATATACTCGTGTTTGACACACACCTAAACCCGAAAACAAACAATCCTAACACAAGAATGAACCTAGAGAATGAGATAGATCATATGCCTAGGATGATTTTTTATCATAAAATGTATTGGTTAACACTTGCAGGATATAGCTAAGCATGTTATTTTTCAAGCCAAAAGAAACAAAGATTTGTATGCAATCAGAGAACCAACTTCTGGTACTATAACATGTTAATTATATAATCACATTTACATCTATGACAAGCAAGCGTTTTATCAGGAAAAGAAAATTCTGAAAATGGAAAATGAGTGACAAAGAAAGAAAGAATGGTCGAATTTTATGACCTTAAATGTTCACCATCTGCGTGAATTGCGCAATGATCTTGGCGATCCTTCAAAAAGATCCAAGAGCAACTTTTCCACATGTTCTACAGTGTGCTTAACACACTTGTCTTCGATATGAGCAGGGTTTCTCCCGAGGAATGTTCGATATGCAAGGACTACTTTAAGTGAAGTTGAAATTCGCAAATCTTCACGAAGCTGAGGATCTGGGATACTCCAACTTGTCTGGGTTTTGTATACCTCCTCAAAAGCAATGCTAAAGCCCTTGCATCGTTCTTTGAAGGTCGATTTCGACAAGGAACTTGATCCCGGGTTATCATCCTTGAGGAAATAAATGACTGAACTCCAAGTGGCTCTCTCGTAGTTCTTTGCATGCTGCTGAAACTTTCCATTATGCTTACGAATCCATTCATCTCCAAAGAAGAGTCTGAGTTCTGAGCCCTTAACCTTTTGAACCATGTAATGGATATTGTTCATCAAGAAAATATGTTGTAAAGCCTCATTCTTGTATAGTTGTGACTTCCTATGAAGATTGGACTCCAAAGAACTTGTGATTGATCGAAGGTGACATGCCATGGGACAAGAAGTTGAAAGAGACAAGTTTGGCCCATTATCTGGCTCAATAACTTGATCCTCAACATCGGCATGTTGGCTCTTAAGAAGCAAATTGAGTGTGTTGCAATATTCAGGGAACATCCTGATGTAGTTCATTACATATTTATTGAGAGGGTGAACTCCACCACCAGGGAAGGGGTACAATGATCCATTAGAAGAAATAGCAACTCGAAATGCCTCAAATGCTGCTATTGAAGAGTCACCCAAGCTCTCCAAAAGCTCATGGAACTGGAGCCGGACAAAAGAACCAGCCTCTTCCGGGAACAGTGTATCTATGTCCCGGAGAAGATCTGCCAAAGTTTCGTACATGTCAAGCAAACGAAGCAGCTTTTCAGGTTGATGAGGCCCCATTGCTACAGCTTCTCCGAAGTTCAAGAGGCAAAGAATTGTTGCCTTTGAGATCTCAAGAAAACAAAACGAACTAACAGATCCGAAGTCCCCTAAGACCTGATCGCATAACTGTTTTTCGCTAGCAAGATAGACTCGAACAATGATCTTCATGGACCAGGTCCATTTATTCATCTTGCTACTCATGTTAGTCCATTCCAATTTCAGCACATCCTCGATGCTGAGTTTCTCCGTGTCAAGAATGGCAAAGTACTGCTCCAATGCTTCTTTCCGTACACCAATGAAAGCTTCACAAAATTCCGGACCATAATTTGAAGTAAACATAACCTTTGCAATGGACTTGATATCAGGAATCACATCTGCATGGATCAAATCTACAATAAACTCACCAATTTCATCACTCGAGCAGTTTCGGCTTGATGTTTCCTCGGCTGGTTCATCTTCAACTGAAACAAATGACTCATCATAAACAACATACGTTTGAGTAGATCTAGAAGACATGTATTTGGGGTCGAACTGTTGCCTATGCTGAACAACTATATGAATAAGCTCTTCCTCAAGCCTAGACATTGCCATCTGCAAAACACTCATTGCACGGTGGATAAGTTCCTTCTGCTTCCTATTTTCATGTACAGATAACCCTTGTAAACCATCAACTAGCGTCTGAATTTCATCAACAGCTTCAAGATACTCGGAAGCTTCCCTAGGCCCAGAGTCCCATATCATCCTCGGATCTGATTCCCAACTCAGAATCTTTCTCTCTGCTTGTTTGAGTCGCTCCTCAACATCCAGAAATCCCCTTCCTCCCTTGCTGTCTGTATTTGAAGTTATCATCGACAAATGAGCATCAAGATCGATAAGGATTTTCCGCAAATCATCACTAAGATTCTTAGTTGCTCCCAATGCCTTGACAATATGATGAGCTGCAGCAACAACGTGAAGATCTCCTTCGGATGTCGGGATAGTAGATTGACATCCGTCCATATCAAAACCAATAATAGACAAAAGAAACCGAATAAACCAATCAAGTGTAATCGACTAAACACTAAGTAACTTCCCAGGCAATCAATCAAGCCAAGCCTTTCAATGGACCAATGATATCTAGAACCCAAACCATATACTAGCCAAAACCATGATTCAGATTCACTAAACCCCGGATAGATCAAGAGCAGATCAACACAATCGGATGGTTTGGAACTCAAAGAATTCGATCAAAACAGTTTACAACTTGACAACTCCACACTCCAGCCAAATCAAAAGTATCATAATTCAGATTTAATAAACCCCAGATACAATCAAGAGCAGAACAACACGATTGGATGCTTTCGAGTTCGAAGAAATCGATTAAACGATATATAACTTGATAAATCAAAAGGATGATGATATGAATTGAATAAACCCCAGATACAATCGACAGCAGATCTACACAAACGGATGCTTTTCGAATTCGAAGAAATCAAACAAGCAGTTTACAAACTGATAACTCCCCACCCTAGATAAATAAAAAGGGAATTTCAGATGATCCACTTAGAACATTACTTAAAAAAAGGTTGAACTGAAATGACAAAAGGTAAGCCTTGTACTTAGCCATTTATAAAATAAAAATTAATCTTAAAGATCACATGACAAATAATAGTTTAAAAATTTAGGAAAAAAAAAGGAAACCCATCAAACCTTAGAACTTGTTTTCCTTGAAATCATCGAAATCCAGCAGCATCAACCCATAAAAAGAAAAGAAATAAAGTCAAACGAACATCAAAGGGAGGGTTGTGAAAGAGACTAAAGAGGTGAATTTCGTGGGAAAAAGCAGAAGTGGGATTGTTTTCCTTTCTCAAATTCGTACTTTTAAATTTTGATAATTGAACTTCTTTTTTATATGTTTATTTTCCATTTTTGAAGGAGTTTAATTGAATACTCTCAGTTTGCTGGAAAATTTTTAAAGTCGTGGGTACGTACAGTCAAGGCTTGTCTAGCTTTTGACCAGTGACCCAACGGCACCGTTTTGTAAACCACTTCGGTTATACATTTCTACTATGGCTAAAATATCCTCCAAGTCCCTGTACTCTCTATACATTTGATATTTGGTCTCTCTACTTTTTAAATTCAATTATTGACATTGTTAAAACTCTATTGTTAAATTCAAATCTATTACATGACTTATACAAGTTAATGTTTTCTTTATTTTAACATGCATATCAACAAATTTAGCAGAAGAATTTTAATGGATTAAATAGTTAAACTTAATATTTTAAATCTAAAAAAATAAAGGGATTAAATTTATAAAAAAAATGTGAAGGTGAAATTCCAAATATATACAGAATACAAAGACTTGTAGTATATTTTAACTTTCGTGTTGATGTCTTATTTTTGTATTTTTCTTTATGTTACAATTGTATTTAACAGTTTAAAGTTATATTTTCTTTTGTGCATATAATGAAATGTAAAAAGAATATAATTTTTGTAGTCTCTAAAAAAGTTTAACTCCCAAAAATTAATAATTTAATTATGATTCTATAAATATAATTTAATATAAGGGTTAATATAAAAATAAGTGTCCAAACTATACAGTTTTCTCTAAAATGGCGCCTAAACTTTTTTTTTCAGTCAATTTAAGTGCCTAACATTATAAACTTGACTACTTTCAGTGCCTCATCCATAATGACTGTTAAAAAGTCTCGTTAAGTGACTCGTGTCACGCTTCGGTAATTATAAAATTTATTTAAAAAGTTAATTTTTTTTATATTTTTAAAAAACCCTATTTTTCTAAAATTACAAAAATCCTAAACCTTAAACCTCTAACTCTAACCCTAATTTATCCATTTCTAGCCACAACCATCGACATCGTCGTTGTCCTTGCAGTCTCCATTGTCATTCGTCCTTGCCCCTTGTTGAAAACCTTTTGATGTTTCGATATAACAAATTAAATTAAAAGAATTTTTATTTTTGAAAATGATTTTTCTAAGCATATTCGATATATTAAATCGAATATCAAAATATTACTCCGAGTCTTTCAAAGTTCATTTTAATCCTTACTAAAGTGTAAAATTGTGTTTTATACTTAAACTATTTTAAAATAATTTTACAAAGTATTTCGAGCCTTAATAGAGCCAAAAATATTTTCTTTTTAAAGGGTTTCAAGAAAAATCAGATTGTCCAAGGGGTACAGATTCCCCCCCAGGGGGTACCGAATCCCCCCAAGGGGTACTGATTCACATTTTGATGTTTCGATACAACAAATTAAATTAAAAGAATTTTTATTTTTGAAAATGATTTTTCTAAGCATATTCGATATATTAAATCGAATATCAAATTATTACTCAAAGTATTTTAAAGTTCATTTTAAATCCTTACTCAAGTGTAAAATTAAGTTTTAATCTTAAAATAATTTCAAAACGATTTTACAAAATATTTCGAACCATTTAAAAGTCAAAAATTCCAGATTGCTCAGAGGGAACTGATTCCCCCCCAATGGGGTACCGATTCCCCCTGAATGGTTTGGCTCCAAGAATTCCAGTATGCTCGGAGGGTGCCGATTCCCCCCACTGTTCAACGGTCGAAATATTTGAATTTTACACTTAGGGAACCGATTCCCCATGAGGGGTACCGATTCCCCCCACGCTCCAAGCAGAAATATTAATTGTTTTCACACTTAAACGGCTCCAATAACTTCATTAATGATCCCCAACGTTCAGAAGTGATTCAAGGTGTATTTAAGCAAGCTTAGAAGCCATTGATCAAAACAAGAAACATCAAGCAACTAGAATCAAGAGAGAATCAAAGAGAAAGCATCAAACCTCAAGTTTGAGCATTTCAAGCCTATTTTTCATTCAATATTCATTTTGCTTTCAAGAACACTTATTGTGCTCAATCGTATTTATTCTTGAGTGTTCTTTCTTTGTTCTATAATTGTGCAAACATATTTGCCTTGTGAGGTTTTTCTTGTAAGTTTGCAAATTTGTAATCTTCTCTTTGAGAAAAGAGTATTCTCAAGAATTGGGGTATATTCTTGAGGGAGTTGTAAGGTTATCTCTTTGGCCTCAAAAGAAAGAACAAATTAGTGAATTTGTTGGAAAATCCTTAGTGTGGATAGCTAAGGTAGTGGACGTAGACTTTGGTTGATAAAGTCAAACCACTCTAAATCGCTGTGCAATTACTTTCAATTTTCTGCAAAAGCTTCCACAAATTTTTTAATTGCCAATTCACCCCCTTTTGGCCGATTTCGTCAATCGATTAACTCAACAATTGGCATCAGAGCCTAACTCATTTGAAGGTTTAATCGCCTCTTGATTTGATTCGGGAAGAGTTACATCGATAATCAAAGTCATCAATGGCCTCTACTTCAAACTTCGACTCCGGTCTCGATTCGATGCCCGTCAACAAGCCTCCTTTCTTCAATGGGGCTAACTATGCCTATTGGAAAAATAGGATGATGTACTTCATTCAAGCAAGTGACATGGGAGCATGGAATGTCGTAGAAGAATGATACATCAAGCCTCTCACTCATCCAAGATTGTGGAGTGAAGGAGAGAAAAAAATGTTCCAGCTCAACTCTAAAGCCATCCATATCATATTTTGTGCTCTTGGACCAGATGAATACGGAAGAGTTTCATCTTGTACAACCGCCAAAGAAATATGGGACAAACTTCATGTCACTCATGAAGGTACCGATGAGGTAAAGAAATCTAAAATTAGTATTCTAACGCATAGCTATGAAAATTCCAGGATGAAACCAAATGAAGATATCAAAGCTATGACTGATAGATTCTCAACGATTGTCAATGGTCTCAAATCATATGGAGAGATCATTTCAAATGAAAAGCTTGTGAGGAAGTTAGTTTACTCCCTTTCAAAATCATGGCAATCAAAGAAGACGGCAATCATCGAGTCTAAGGACCTAACGTCCTTAACTCTTGAAGAGCTAATCGGTTCACTCCTCACTCATGAAATGATGCTTGAAGATGAGGTGGACCTCGATAAGATTGAAGAGACACCAAATGAGAAGGAGAAGAAAAACATTGGAGTTGCTCTCAAATCCACAAAAGATGAGAGTGATTCGGATGAATATGACGATGACAAGAAAATGGCATTGTTTGCCAAACGGTTCAGAAAAATGATGAGACCTTACCGAGGAAGAAAATTCAAACGAAATGAAGGCCTCAAAAATGAACCAAAAGAGAAGGACCTAATCATTTGCTATGAATGCAAAAAGCCGGGGCATGTCAAATATGATTGCCCATAATTGAAGAGAAATGGTCAATCAAAGAATAAACACAAGGCTCATGTGGCTAAATGGAGCGATGAAGAAGGTTCCGATGAAGAGGAACAAGAAGTAACAAACTTGTGCTTGATGGCATTCGGGGAAGATTCTAAGGTAACCTCTAACTCATCTGATTTTGATGATTTATCCTATGATGAGTTATTAGAGTAATATAATGGGTTGGCTTCGGATTATGAGAAATTGTTTTTAAAATATAAAAATGATATTTCAAAATTGAAAAATGAAAATAAACTCATATCCAAAACCAACAGCGATCTTGAAAGTAAAATCAAAGATTTGCAAATCAAACTAGAAGAGTTTGAAAAGAAAATTTTGGATTTGCAAAATTTACTTTCAAAGGTCAATGATGATCATCAAAAGAAAATTGATGATCTTAAAGCTTCTTTTGATAAAGTTGGAACAAAACATTTTGAAAATGGAGAAAATTGAAAATCCAACTTTGTTAGAAAAAATTTTAAAAACTACAATCATAGAGGTCCCCAAAGAACCTCTAATAGAAAAATCGTTAAAAGTATATGGGTTCCTAAAGAGCTCATTACTACTAAAGATAAGGATATCCTATACAAATGGATACCAAAGGGGACTAGGATTTTGGAAACTAATGAATATGGACCCAAAAGAATTTGGGTACCAAAAATCAAAAATTAATCTATGTTTGTAGGAAAAGGAGCATTGCTACAAGGCACGGGAAACAAATCTAAATTCATGGTACCTTGATAGTGGATACTCGAGACACATGATCGGGGACAAAAACCGGTTCATAGAGCTTAACGCCAAAAATGGAGAAGAAGTGACTTTTGGTGATGATTCAAAAGGTCACATTGAAGGTATAGGTACAATAGGTAATACCTCTTCCATACAAATTAAAAATGTGTTATATGTGAATGGATTAAAGCATAATCTCTTGAGTATTAGTCAATTATGTGATAAGGGATTCAATGTCATATTTGAAACTAATGGTTGTAAAGTCATTGACATTGCATCTAATAGGATTATACTTGTTGGTCATAGAATAGGAAACATATACATGGTGCATTTAGACTCTATATAAATGACTAATTTATGCCTAGTTGCAAAGGATAAGCATGATAGTTGGTTATGGCATAGGAGACTAGGATATGCTAGCATGAGTGTTTTGCAACGGTTAGTTCAAGGAGAATTGGTTCGAGGGCTGTCTAAACTAAAATTTGATAATGATAAAATCTGTGATGCTTGTGCTAAAGGAAAACAAAAGCGAGTTTCTTTTAAATACATTAATGATGTGTCAACTAGTAGAGTATTACAATTGATCCATATAGATCTTTTTGGGCCAACTAAGACTGCTAGCTTGGGTGGAAAATAATATGCATTTGTATTGGTAGATGACTATTCTAGATATACTTGGGTTCTATTCTTAAGTACTAAAGATGAAGCATTAGAAAATTTCATCACATTTTCAAAGTAATCCAAAAAAAAGGTTACTCTATCACTAGTGTTAGAAGTGATCATGGCACTGAATTTGAAAATCTTGGATTTAATGAGTTTTAATTCTAATGGTATTAGCCATAATTTTTCA